GTCAATATTTTTCATACATTCTAGAAGATATATTCTACCGGATATACGATCCGGTGGCGTTCCATTGTGAACGATACTGTACGAATGTTGTGATAAATTCAGTCTGTGATCAGACGGTGAAATAAATAAAATAAATTCTAGATAGCTTTCTGTGGGAATATTTTTTGATCCTTTTTTTCATCGAGCTAGACCAGACTTATGGTTTTGTCAGTGGTCTGAAATTCAGACTCTGAATGCAAAGTTAACTATACTCGATGTATGCAGAGTGCTTAAACAAAAGCAGAGTATTGCTCAGCGCTGCCGCCATCCACATCATATTAAAATATCTTGCTGAGAATGCGTCGCAATACTCTGAACAAAAGTCTTGGAATAAAAAAAACTGCAATCCGATTTTCTTACAAAGAAAAGTTTTTGTTGTAGTTTCTATGACCACCTTTATTTCATATTACATCAGTGAATATTTATTTCATTTCGTATTTTAGCGATACAAACGATTCATTGTGAATTATTAGAAAGAACTAATACATTAATAGAAATCATCATTTCTTTCCATCCAAATGAGAAAGTCTTGATATTCTTCATCAGTCATACCATGTGAATTTTGAGTTTTCGCGGCTTCTTTATTCTCCGGCCTCTCTGCTGTATTCTTCACCTCCGGATTTTTTACGGTATTCTTCGCCTCACTCGGCTCTTTTTGTACAACTGCTTTGGTTTTCTTAACATCTTTTTTTGGATTGGCAGGTTTTCCTTCGTTTTTCTTCATTGCATCCACATTAGAAATCGCAAACTGTGGAATTGAAAAAGAATGAATACATTTGGATGCGATTAGTTAATTTGTTGTGCGATGTTCGGTTCAGAAATATTTTCATAACCGATCAAAATCTGAGAATGTTCGCTCACAATAAATTCACTATTGAAAATATATGGTATGAATATCATAGCTAAGTATCTTCGCGGACGAATACAAACAAAAGAATACAACTGTAAAAGTTCCTTAATTTGCTTGAAATTACAGATGTTGTATTTTATATTCGCAATTCAGCCAATAGAATATTAAATGTGATGAAATTGATAATCATTATTGCTATGAACTGACAATTTGAGTATGAATTTGAGAAGTTATAAAAGCTTACCTGAAAAACGATCAATCCAACGAAAATTACAACAAAAACGTTTCTATTCAACATTTTTAATCGACTTGTCTGAGAAATGTCCAAGTTTATACTAATTGCGTTGCTATGAAAGAGCTACTATTTATAATTTGCCGCTTTTTTGTCAAATAACAAATGTACGTACGTTATTGGTAGATCGATTTGTTCAATAACGTTGAAAGCTATTTGGAAAATTTCAGTTTGTCTTACACGTGTAGCGAACTGATACTCGTGCACCTAAAATGGGCTCATCAAAAATATTTAACAAGTGCGCAAACAAAGAATATATTATGTCAAAATCAGACAATACATTTGTATTTTGTCATCTGGATATTTCAGCTCATCAGGATAACGTTTGGCGATGATACGGAGTGAAAACAATAGAAGTGATTGTTATAGTTATGGTATTATTTTTTTATCAATACTTCTATTGTTTTTACTCCGAATCATCGCCTAACGTTATCCAGATGAGCTGAAATATCCAGATGATCAAATCCAAATACATATATTGTCTGGTCAAAATGTAAAAAAAAAAGAAAAAGAAATATCCAAGAAATATTAAGCTAAATTTGTAACAAATGCATAAAATTATAGGAAAAAATCGATTTTATGAATAAAAACCATGACAGCATTTTATTTTTGGGCGTGTTTTTTCCAATTTTTTTTTTTTTTTTTTTTTTTTGCAGATCCAGATTAACAAACAAACTTTTCCATCTCGAGAACACGTTAGATTTCGATGTAACCCTGTTTTAAGGAACATAATTTACAGTGGATAGTTTGAAATTTTCGAAAAGAAGTCCAAAAAATGTACCTAGCAAGTATATCGTTTCTTTCTCTGCATTTATTTATTTATTTTTAGATCTTCTGTCCCCTAAACCCCCTTAAAAAATAAATAAAAAAGAAACAAAATACCCCTTATGACTAACTAATGATGGCAATCGATAGAGCGTACACACACACTTTGGGAGTATTCGAGCTCTAAACACCTTAAAACGGAGTCGAACCACAAAATACTCACTCTTCGCGTATATTTCCATACAAAATGCACTACGGGCGCTGTAAGCCCCAAAGTTGGACAGAAGGTTAATGGCAGATTACAAAGAGAAGCGGTTTCCAAAATTATATTTTACATTTATTTATCCAATATTTAATCGAGCAAGTGTTACAATGGAATTGTAAGTTTCAATTCAATTGAATTTATTGAACAGAAGTGAACTATTTGAATTTGAACAGAAGTGGCAATTTCGAAAATTCGGCATTTTTATTGTATTCTTTGAATTTCTGGTTGGTTTTTTGCACTTTTAATTTTGGTTGAAAAAAAAAACACAAAACGTTGTAACATTTTTATAGGTTCACAGATGTTAGTTTTATTTCATCAATGGCTTTAAATACAATTTCTATGTAATCGTCACTAGGTTTTCCAATGAACCGGGAAGCTATATGGAAAAAAGAGATACATGTGCAGTCATAGCCGCATGCGTTCAACGTGCATATGATATTAATGAAAATGAATGCACCTCTCGGAATAATTCTTTGGCCAATTCAATATCGGCGGATGGCTTTCTACCGATGAACGGTACTGGTGATAGTAATCGAAGTGACTCTTTAATTACACGTTCCAAGTGAACGCATTCGAGATAAATCGTCTTGTGTCACATCACAATCGGCTGAATCACAAATCGATCGCATTTCTTCCACCACCAAATCCTGATGATTTTGATTGATGGCTAACATCAATAGAGTGCTGAATACAGTGATTGATGATGTATCGATGCCAGCTAGAATGATCATACGCATTTGAACCAAAGCATTTTCATAACTAAATACTCCTTCTTGTTCCAAAATCAGGCATTTGTCGAAAATATTTGTTACATTTTTCTCTTCCGTTACCGTTTTTTAACGGAGTCTTTTCGTCACGGCCTACTTTCGATATATTGCATACGAAATCCCATCGAAAGCAAAATCTTGTAGTCGATCCTGAATATTATTCACGATTGATTTGACAGTTACTATTGTCATAATACAGTGTAGTATTGTCGTCATTATAATCAATGTATCTTCTTCTTCTTCTGTACATGAATTCTTGGAATCGAATTACACGAACTATAAAATCAAGGTTGATGAAATAATTATAGCAATATTCAATATTTACAGTAATTTTGTTGAATCGTCGAAAGCGAATGAGCGAATTCATAAGTTCGTTATCAGCCGATGAATTTTTCTGATGATAAATTTGCTTTAAATTCGTTCAAACGAAACGCACTCGGTAATTTCCTTCCAAAATTCATACGTTTGCAATTTCCGATGCGATTGTCGTGTGTTTATAATGCACGTCTTATACAGTGCAAAATTACCCGAGTGAAAAATGGCATTGAATTTTTTAATGCGTAGTGTCAAACGGCATTTAAGCAATAAATCGAGACCGCATGGTCCGTGCGCACGTTGAGTGCATACACCACATCGCTATAGCCATGCGGTGTCGATTTATTGCTTAAATGCCGTTTGACACTACGCATTGAAAAATTCAATGCCATTTTTCACTCGGGTAGTCAAGTTCTGACAACTAGCAAGCAAT